ACAGCTTTAATATCCTTCTTTCTTGTCCTGGTTTATGACCCCGAAATAATAGACCTATAAGCTAAGTAGTACTTGAAGGCCATAGTCCGAGATTCCTCTGAAGTTCCTAGACACATTCATTTTGCTCATTAATTGTAAAGCCGCAAACTATCTCATCATAAGGTGCACTGATGATGATACCTGATTGCGTCGTAAAGCTTGTAAAGTCATTGCATAGCCGTTGGCAGAAAATGTTGTCTACTTTTCTAAAGTCACACATCTTAGGTAATATAAGTCGCGTTTAAAATTGTTCGAAGATCTAAATGTTGCCTCGGCTCATAAAACAAAAAAGTTATGCTGCTTCTGATAAAAAAAAAAACTGGAAGGAACGATCCAAAAACGGTTGTGTCGTTTTAGTTCTGGATATTTTAATATAAAGGGCGTTTGTTGCGGTTGTCGATCCATTACAAAAAAGGTTGATGAGATTATTGCAGAAGTTAGCAGGAACAATATGTGAAAGGGCATGCTATTTCCAACGGATGAAACATCAACCGCTAAACAACTTCTTTATCTATCTGAAGAAAGCCGACCGGAAAAAATGTCATCTTGGTACTTCATAAATCAAGTGTCGTTCCAATTAAGTGTTTAATAAAGTTTAGTGCGTGTTAAACTATGAACATTGGCCTGTAACTTTCTCGCTATGTATACTATGGTATGTATATATTTGGTCTACAGGTTGTGCGCCAAGAATAATTATGAGTTCGGAAGAAAAAAATTAGACACCGGGAACCTTTAAGACTTGCCAGGATGAAGCTAGTGGTCAAAGCTGATGAAGCTCGAGCCGATATCGAAACATAGCCTTGTTTCTGGTTGTTAAAGAGGACACTGTGACAGAATACGTCTAAACGTGTCGTGACGTTAATATTGCTTATCTGCTAAAAAGGTTTTTGAAGGGACCTTTTTTTTACCTCGTGCGGTAGTTTCTTTCTGTTTCTGATAGGTGTTAGTGTTCAGGTAAGTTCTAGGATAATCTGTGTTCGTCGTCAGCGTTTATTACATTTATTTTCACAAAAAATAGGCGCATAAAGAAGTATCGTGTACCATGTAATTAGATATAACTAATTAAGAAGGAAAACCAGTGTGCCGCACCTATGGATTCCTTCGACGTAACTTTTACGCCTAGTTACGATTGACAATTTTTGTTTCGAAGCTTATTTACTATAAAAATTATCGGTCTTAAAGTAAAAATAATGATTTGTATAACCCATTTTATACAAGTAGGAAATGGCTCAAGGATATTGCCCCTTAAACGACGATTTTCAAGGCAGATTAGTTCGGTAATATCCCAATAAACACCTCTAACGTAGTTGTCGTAAAAATAGTTTTTGCACATCTTTAAGCATCGATTTATGTTCGAGGAAACATTATTACAGTTTGGATAAAACAACGACCTTATGTAAACGAATAAAAGCGTCCCTAGTTTTTTTCTACATAACATCTAAAGCGTATGCCTGTAAGTGTTACTAGCTAGAGTAAATGTTAATCGGATTTTAGTGGATACGACAGGGAACATAGTACTTTCAGTTTTTATAGTAGACATTACATTTTTCAACATCGAACATTTTTGGAAATTCCACTCTCAGCACGCCAGCGTACCATGCCATTGATTACACTTCGAAGACTGTAACGTGGCCGATAAATCCTCAAATGATCTGCACATTTCAAAATGAAGTTTCACGAAGGTGGGATATATGTGTCTATAAGTACAAAAACCGCATAAGGCCACACAACATCGTTGAGGGACACCAGAGGCCAGTATATAAACATTTCTAACCACAAAACAACTTTGCAATTAGGTAGGTTGAAGGGCATCGTAAAGCGGATTGGCGTATAGCCAGCTCAGTGACCCGTAAAAAAGACCCACCTAAACTTTATTCAAGGCATTTCTTTAAATTCAGATAAGTGTAATGGTATTGGCTGTGGCTGCCAGTTTAAGCATCTAACATAACTAAGTTCGCTAGGGGATCAATGATTAGATATTGAAAACGAATCGAAACTGCTTTGTTGCTTCTGGAACCCCTTAGTTGTATTCGTGGGTCCAGTTTCGGGGACGCGGAACGATTCCGAAACTTGAAACTGTAGTATATAGTTTCACTAACTAGATCGTTTGCGTATTAGTAACAGATGTGTCAGTATAAAAATCATGATTCGGTTGGGCGTTCTTATAGGTAAAGCTTACGGCAGAAACATTTCAGCAAATACAGGTTAAGTTATAACGACATCTCGGCTTACCTCAAGCTGTATGTGATGATATTAGAGTCGAAAAGAGTACGACAACTTCTTCATTAAAGGCTGCTTTGGAAAAAGTGCTGTTAGTCGCTTACGCTAAATTTTGTCACTTCTAAAGATGTTCGAAGTATCACGGCTAGATCTAATATGTTTGTAAGGCTTGTGAGTTAACGCTCTAACACATTAATGAGCATGACTTGAATAAATCGAATATCTTTTTATATATATATATATATATATATATAACACGAACGTTTCTGAGTCTTCATTTTGATTAAAGTAGCAGGAGATGTTCAAATCATTGGAACTATGCCCTACCCTAACATAATTTCTATCTTCCAGAGGACGGCTATCTAACATTTAAAACGATGCAAAGAAGGAACTTAATATTATTTACATAAATCTTCCGTTGTTACAAATTTTTTACATATACAATTTTATTTACATATACAATATCATGCATCAATAATGTGGAATTCCTTGGTTTTCTTTACGGTGGCTTTTTTTTGGGTTTCATCTCTAAAATGGCGGTACGGATTTTCTCAGCCTTGTCCATCGTCGTGGATTGTCATAAACGAAATATCCCCGAGCTAGCCATGAAAGGAGTTCACATCCCGAGAAACCCACTGTCTGATGCGGCATGTGGGCTAGGGCATTATTGGCTCTTTTTTTTTCCCAAAAGTCAATAAACCCTGTCCAGTACCAGAAAGTAAATTCAAGCTTTTTTGTACTCGTTGAGAAAAGGATTTGCAAAAACAAAATAGCTCACCCTTCTACGTAACTTATAAGTAAATCACCTCAAACATTACTTCGGTATACGTATATTCTGCGGGCGGGATAAAGACATTGAATGGCCTTCCATATCATGTGATTGAGTGGAGTCCACTTGACTTTCTTCTATGACAATGTTAAAAAAGAAAAGTGCACTAGAGCAGTTGACCGACGCTTGCCAGACTCAAAGAAAAGGTCCTTACCGCCATTTTAAATATAGGGCCAAACGCATGCGAAGAAGTGACTAAAAAATGGTGAAACAAATCAGTGCCATGAAGAAAGTCAAAGAAGCCCACCTAATATTATATTTAAGTAAAACCTTGAATGTATAAGACTTTGTAATAAATAAAAATTTGTGTGAATATATATGATTGTTTTTGTTTATCATTAGCGAGGCAGCCGGGTGAACGTTGTGCTATAAGTATGTAGAAACTATTTTTATATTAGATAATAAAATAATTCGAAGAGCTGCAGTTGTACCTATTTTAACTATTCCATGTTAGTAATATACCAAAGCTACGACATTATAGAATATTATTTAAAAAAATATTAATACATCAACCATCACAAACGTGTTGCACAATTAAATCCGCTCCCTATTGCAATAATTTGCACACCTTCTCCTGCATCAACAGATTGAAGTGGGGACTCTTCAAATTATCGTTAGATAGCTCCTCTTATATATATATTAGTCTTTCGTTTCTTAATTTAGATATTTAAACAAAAACACCTTGCATAACAATTCGGGTACATTCTTATACAATGTTATAAAAATATTCTATAAAGCATGAATCATCGACAAAGCTAAAACCAACATATAAATCGTCCAGCACGGTAATGCGGCAACATGGCCTAAACGATTTTAAAAAAAAAAAAGATTACATGTATTATAGCCCTCCCCAAGGGCATAAGCCCAAGGGCTTTTTTTCCATATTACCCTAATTAGGATAAGCTGTACTCGATTCGTTTAACTAACTGGCCTAGGCCTAGACAATATTGATATATTTACAAAAAAAACTTTTCACGCTGTATTCATCTTTACCTCTCGTCATGACCTTATCCCTTTGATAACTTTAAAGGCCAGACTTTACTCCAACTCTAACGACCGAAAAGCAAGGTAGGCTCGATTAGACCCTAAACCGTTGACTGCTAACTACAGGTTTTAATGTGCCCTCCTCTAAACGACGCGTCTACGATTGCTGCTAGTAACTGAGTGTAACAAGACAAACTACGTGGTCTTTCGGGCTTTATCCATCATTTGTTAAAACAATAATGGTACCGATAGCGAACATATGCCCAGCCAAGAGAGAAAGGCTTAGTATCGTGAAATAAAATCCTGAGCTGTTAATATTTTGATTTTGTTAGCGTTGGAGTTCTGCATCTGCCACAGCTTAAAGCGATTTGAATAGGGCAATATGTTTCTTCTATTTATCTTTGTCTTAAAGCGAACCAGGGAATAAATATTGCCAGAAATTGATACTGATTAAATGTTAAAAACCATCCAGTAAGTGAGCGCTTAGTCAAATAGGTCCTTGATATTCCAATTTCCGGAATCAATGTAATCTTGCAGGACAAGGAAATGAATAATTTTTATGTACACACAATGTCTCACGTACATTCACTTTAATATTAAATATATTCGGTTTTGTGCATATATAACTGGGAAACCGTAGATAAGGGATAGCATTCATTAAAGTGGCCCAAAGACGTTAGCGTTCACCGTACGCGTTTGTCCTTAAGAGAGCATAGGAATATATAGGAATATATATATATATATATATATATATATATATATATATAGTATATGCGCTTCAGCAGGCACTCGTCAGTCGCCCCTTTTGATCGATGTTATATTATACTGGTAATTATTAATCAAGAATAATTTACAATACTACCAAAAATAGTGACTTGATGGCGAGACGATGGGGTTTATTTCGAGTGGGCACGCCATTAACATACCTTTAAGCCAGCTAGATGTTGAGCTTCAATCCTTTCGATAATGCACATTTCTTGCCTTCTCGATCGACAAAAACTTACATGCCATTGACCCTCCTAGGTCATATTTTACGGACTAAGCCTCTTCTTGAGGAAAAGGGAACATTCAGTGCTTCCTGTTTTTTTTTTTATCTACGATGGTCCCCTTGTTGTTGTTAACCTATTATACTGCCGAGTGGGACCGATCGAACAGTGGATGGGAAATCAACTATACTGCATTTGGAATAAACTTGTTTATCTGTGGCGCTTTCATTTGTTTAGGGGATCAGTGAGACTCTAGCTGTCTGTCGAGCGTCCTAGGGTCGAAACTTATATTCAGTACATTTATATTCAAAACGATGTAACTGGATTTAATGATTATTCTATGATAAACACCTGTACATTGAAAACCTTTTTACTAGGTGCAGATGATCACCACTTATCAAGCGAATACTAGTCCTAATCAAGAAATCTCAACATAATTATACAGGCAAAAATTATAATTATATCATTTAGGCAGGTTTTTAGGTGATCATGTCACGCCTGGCTGGAGGCACCGAACCGAAGCGTTGGTTGTGCCTGAAAGAAAAACGGGAACGTGAACAGCAGACATATAATTGGTTATTAATTTTGTGTAATATATGAGAAAATTATAATTTATAACCCCTTCAGGCATACTACAAATGTTAGTTTGCTAACCGCTGATAAGTTTTCTTTTGGGCTGATAGTCATGTAAAGCTTGAACTGGCAATTTTTCTTTACTGTGTGTCGGCACTGAGTTGATTGGCTACTGAATTATTGACAATCGAAGTGCCCGTCTTTAGATTCATGATCTCCGCAAGTTGTTGGCAATACTCTAATGATCTCTTTATTCGATGTAACCCGTTCGTCGTCCGTTTGTTGGATCGTGCATTGATACTAGCAAGTGCTTCATACTTTTGTTGTGCTTAAAAGGCTTAAACGCCACACCACGATCTGTCACCAATATGATCGATGCACCGATTCTCAAAAACAGCTTTTATGCAAATGGTAACGCTTGCGTCGTCAATGTTGATCTGACGGCCTTTGTCCCAACAGATTTCAAGAATCCGTCCATCTACGATAACGTGCTTCGCAAGATTTACTTTAGGTATCGGTCTGGTGTTATCGCCGTATTATCTCTGAAACGTGTTTGGGTCGTCGACTTCTTCGAAGTCTCTCTTCACTGTTATTCCTCCCTGACAGCCAACGCAGAGATGCGCTCACGAACGTCTGCACATATGATTTTATTTTAACGGGCCAGTAACGTTCACGGATAATGGCCATCGCGTTAGCCTTAGCATAATGTCCTTCCTGTTCGTGGCCCGTCACCAACACAAACTTTCTCATTGGTCTTCAGACGCCACTAATTTTAACTTTCTCGGTTCACTGCTCTTCCCATCCCTGCTTCTTTCTTCCTAAAAAACAACATAAATCCCTTATAACAAAAACTCTATGTTCCTTTTGGAGTTCTATTAACTTTATCTTTCGTGAGTGCCTTCAGCCACTATACGATGAGATGGCCGTTTGCTAGAATTGCCGCTTGACCATCGAGTGGTAAAAGTGTGACGCGCTTCACAGGTCCATTGTTTTTGTTGGATTTGCTGACTTCCGCGTGCAGACTCAACTCTACCGTGCTACGGCTCAATGCGTTTGCGTGTTGCATCGCCGTTTCTGACCTGTGCCCAATTCTAAATTGAAATTTAGCAATGGGATAGATCGCCCGATGCTTGGATCGGGACTTACACCCTGTATAATAGGTTACCAACGTCGGTCTGACCAGTAATACCATAAACGTTGCACTGTCCATACGGCGCACAACTGCTTCAGTTTGGTTACCAATACAGACAACTTTTAACTTACCATGTGTATCAATCGCCATTACTGTCGACTAGTTGTATCAGCAGTGCTTTTTCTATGAGGCCACTTGCATTAGTACCGCCGACCTGCCTCTCTCACGTTAGGTGGATCAATAGGGCCTACCTAAACAATTCGGGCGTTTTTTCGTTTTATACAGACCACTCGAATTTCGCCGACTTCTTCAATAGCGAATCTAGTGGGAATGCCATCTTCCCAAATCCCTTGATGAGCCGTCGGAAGAGTCCAATTGGTTTCAGGAATTTCTTTACCTCTGTTATTCTTTTTGGCCTTGGGCATTGGCTAATTGCTTTCACTCTGCCTGTACCAGGCCTGATCCGATGCTTCAACATTCTGAACTATAAAAGTCAACAGCTCTTGACGAACGCCCAATTGTCATGGCATACCGTTGCTTTCAGTTCATTCAATGCCTCTAGTATAAGCTGTTTAATGTTCACTAGCTGTTTTCTATACGTATTATCTGGCGCGAGGAGAGCGCCCATAAATTCGAACACAATATTATCACCTAGCTTTAGCCGGTCACCATCTATTGAAATTGATCCATTATACAAACCCGTCAATAATACTGTGACTACAAGGCCTATTAAATTAAATGTCTTTTTTTAAATGTTTTCTTCCGCAGTGGTAGCCCTATGCGACATCAAATATTGACAACGGCACCGTGAAGTTCATTCGCACCGTCTACGCCTTTCACTTGCGATCGTCGATGCTTATTCTGTAGATTTTTTATTATAAGAGTGGAAACTGCATCCACCGATCTTTTGCATTTCTGTCATTTCGTTCATAACGTATCTCCCCCAGGTAACGTTATTAGGTCCAGCTTCGATGCTCCGCCTGAGCTAATTCAAATATTGAATTAATAAATATTTCTAGCCTAATAGCGCGTCTAATTGTTGCTTAATTTCGTTTTATCGCAGTTCAATTAATTTGTCCCAATCTGAGCGGGGCCATCATTTCCACGTTCTGATTATGCTTGTTCGACCCTTTTTGTGCGTCCTACACGGTGTGATGATGCCATCATTGCTGTGTATCTCACCTCATGTAGTTATCTCCGTGTGCGAAACTTGTCCAGATTTGAAGCCGTGCGAAGACACTTTGTCCTGCGCTGGAAGCCAGTCGTCTGAAGTGACACGTAACGATTCAGGTACCACACGTAAATAAAAAAAAAAAAAAAAAAAACATTTTTTTCACTTACAGCAGTTTCGCTGATTGCAGTTTGTCCGTAACGGTGGGTCACCATTGGTAAAACAAGTTGGACAGCGTTTATAGCATAACTGCAGTGTGGTCCTCCTATACCATTACGAAATCACAGTATTCACCCGCACACACAGCTCGCAACGTAACTCTAAGTATTATTCGCGGCTCATTAGCGTTACCAACCCTTCGCGATAAAGCGATTTTTTCCGTAGAAGCACTGGATGTCTACACTTAACCGAGTCCGGCAATACGATCACAATCAGACTCTCATAAGTTGACCCACCCGTCATTGTAGTTATTTCACATTAGCCTGCTGGTTTGTACCGCCCAATAATTTTGCCAAGATGCCCTTATTTTGTAAGTTGTAGCTCGAGTCGCACGTCCCTATTTGTCCGCTCTGCTAGCATTCTCACGTCTACTTACGAGTCTACCTGTTGGCCATTTTTTCCCGCTGATTTTAGTTGTCCGAGTGTCTGCTTGTTCACTCACACACGAATCATTTAATGGTTATGCTGCAATGTACACTCGGGTACAGTCTCTAGCAATTTGTCCTTGAGCCTCGCAAGGGTAGTCCTATTTCTACCTTCGGTTGCTTGAACCCTGGATCTGTGTTCTGCGCTTTAGCTGTGTTATTGCTGAACTAGGGTCTGCAGAAGCACATTGCTGTCGTTCTAACGTTTGGCATGGTACCGTTAACTTTGGGGGGTGATCGTGGCGGTACAAGGCATTCAACCCAATGAAGATGACAAAAAAAAAAAGTGCAAGATTAGTATATAGCGGCTTTTTCTTTTTCGGACACATCTGTCATTTGTCTTCGCTACGTAATGAGCGAATCGAGACCATACTGTAACTAATAATGGAAAACATCGATAAAGGGCGCGCTAAGAAAAAATATGACCATATGCGCAGTTATACAAACGAAGCTCCCCGGTGGAGCAAACATATGCTATGATAAACGCGGGAAATGTAGACTATGGCAATAATAATAGTACTGTAAGGATATTTGTTTATAATTAAGCAGCATGTTATTTGTAATAAAATAATCTCCTATAATAATGTAACCTATTTAATTCAACCGACATTTTCATGGCAAGCGATATTTTCCATTTCAAGCAACAAAATCAGAATCGTATAATTTTACGTTTGAGCCTAACTCGAAAGTGAAATATTCGAGCTTTGTGAAGTGTCCCAAACTTTTCTGAAAGATCTGTTGTTCTATGCTTGGTATTTCCATTCCTACCGAAGATAAGGAAATCAACGTTTTAGCTTTCATCAGCAAAAACGCGGTGAATACTCACACCGATTTCGAGATCAATCTTCGAGAGTCGAGGTGAAACGTCCGCACTTAAACCGTCATCTACCCGGCGATAAACAATCATTATGTCATTATAAAGCGCTGCATAGATTAGTTAAACCGTTGTCAACAATTTTTAATGATTTTAGGTTTTTTGGAAGGGACCGACCGGTCCTTAGTCACTAAAGAAGTTGGGGTTATTAGTAGCAATAAGCATATATATATATATATAGTAGGTAGATCGTTAAGTTGTAACTGCACTTGGCCACAGTCAAGAAATTCTGATAGGAGTATACAGTTAATAAAGGAAACAAAACAACTGAAACTATAAGTAGCTTAAATAATGAACGTGCAAAGTAGCTGATTGGGTTAATTAGACCTTGGAAAGAGAAAATTAAACCGCATTAGTTCTGCGCCGTTGAAGATATTTACAATCAGCTTTTACCAGGTTTTGTGAAATAGCAGGGAACTTTAAGGGTCGTCTTGCCGTCGCTATGACTAGACATGTTGGGCGTTAAAAAAGGTCCAAAGGTCCAGTCACTGAGCAACCCTCTATGGTTGTATCCAAATTATTGAAATTAATACGATCAGTTAATGGAATTATTATGTTTAAACAACGCGAAACACATAACACTGTTCACACATAATAGATTTTATTGGGCCAATATATCTTGGTACCAAGTCGCTTCAGTCTTCAAAACAAGCCTTTAAAATAATTCAACTAAAAATCAGTTTAATTAAAAAAGGACAAGCAACATTTTGATAATTTAGTTATCCAGCCAAGCCATATGGTGCTACGGAACGTATCAATAAGAGCTGATACTACGAAGAAAAGCAGAAAAAACCTCTAGTGGATTACGCAAATCAACAGTGCCATTGTAAATTCAATGCTTGTGAAGAACACGTTGAAGACTAGTAACGCTGCGGCAGCTAAAAATCGCTAAAAGCTTTCTGCAAGGACGCGGCGTAGGTAATTTTGGTATGATCTCCTTTGTAGCACAGAGTTAAAAATGCCTATGTACGAACGTTGCAAAATCATCTCAACGCACAGCAGCGATAGAATTAATTCGCAAAAACTAATAGCACTTAAACATTTTACGGGTAGTCTTTAGGGTGTAGTTAATTATTCAACGGCCCAATGCTAGTAAACGGTTTCCTCCCAAATTACCTCCTTCCATTGAATTTACATGGATATTAAACGATTTCCTAAAAACCGGCTGCATATGGCCTTAAACAATAACCTGTAACTATGGCTTAAAGCAAGTAGCAGTTAAACCTTGACACGCGTGTAGGAAAAATTTCAACACTGAGTTATCTACTTCTATCCATTATATGGGACGTTACACTGGAGCGTTAAAGTAACTCATAATACCGAACATTTTCCATACATATCCAATGTAGCGAGTCTGTAATTACCATAGCAGCTCTAAATTTATGCTGAAATGGAAAGCTTGTGAGAATACAAAAGTATCCCAGGTTAGTGGCTTTTTGTGTTCAAAGCTCAGTATAGGATTTCAAGAGAAGATGCAAGCTTTAGCTTTAGTATTTGTATAAAGCGATAATGCATGCTACAGAACTAGCGTTCAGAAGTCCTCCGTGGCTACTACAAGTTTATATGGGTAACAATTTCCCTCAGGAGTACTTACATCGTTTTTCAGAACTTTCCACCGTTTTCTAGCGCGCAGATCGCCTACAGTGTTTGAACATTGTTGTCTATTCGCTTGTCGCCATTTTATACAAATGTTGCCATGTTCATAGATGCTTTATCGTACAAGAAAACAGATCTCAAAGATATCCAAGATAGTCTCTTAGTACTATGTTCTTCTTCGCTGCTCAGAGTTCTCACATGGCCACTTACTAATTCAGGCACGAACGGATCCAACGGATGTGTATTACACCAACTCAGCAGACGCATTATGTTTTGTCACGATCTAGAGTTCAAATCTAGTGCACCTAGTAGTAAATGAGAAGACTTAGCACTCTGCGGAAGAAAAAACACCGGAATTAAGCTCTGTCGCTAGACTACCGCTACAGCACTAGAAAATTTGAAAAATTCCCGCAAACACTGTCAAATTCGCTTTCTAAAGAGCCGAGTTTGAAAATTTAGATAGAGAAAAAAATCACGCACAATCTTGTAAAAATAACGATAACAAACCTTAATTTTTTAAAATAATTTTATATTTTTATTATCGTACAAAATTTTTTACGTTACGATCATCTTACTACTACTATAATAATATATGTTGTGAGACTGACAGGTCCAGTGACAACGTAAACACAAACATCTTTTCGGCAATTGACAATTAAACAAGCTTGTCAGCGTGTTAAACGACGCTGCAAATATCGCCTCGTCTCTCTAGCACCCGGTAATCCAATATACGTGAATGTTATAAAGAAGGCAGGCTGCTTACTAAAGAAGTAATCCTTACGCACTCCTATTCGCTACCGGTATCCGTGCTTAAAGCACAAACACACACACACAGAGAGAGAGAGAGAGAGAGAGGGGGGGAGAGGGAGAGGGAGAGGAAAACCTAAGCAGCGTAATTTTAAAGATTCGGAAATGAAATATGCATCGTCAACGACAAGCGCCAAAATCGGGTAACAAAGGCTATACGAGAGAGATTGACGTTGCAGTGAAATGCCCTGATTAAGGATTGGAAAAAAAGGCAACGGAAGCGCGGCTGTCAAGGAAGATCTAGATATAGTACAATGAAGATAATATGGCTTGATCCTTGACGTTTAGTTAAGACTGATTAATTGAAGCGCTAATCTATTGATTCAATAGAAGTACCATCTCTTAAAACAATAGATTAGCGCTTGGAGCCTTTTAAAGTGTATGTGACGCATATGTTTCATCGTCGGCTAACGATGCTGCCTAGTGTAAAAATTACAAATTTAACAAACCTAGTCCCCTGACATCCTGAAATTCGGAACTGTAGTTGCATTACTCTGATGTGTTGTCTGCTCCCTGTTATTTGTACAGTTTCATCGTCTCGCGCGCTCTTTCGCGATGCCTTTCCTCAGCTCTATCAACGACTTGTCCACGCATACCGAAACAGGGCTGTTTCGTCCATCCTAGCAATTTAAAAGCGAAATGGCTGACGGTGCGATGGTGTTTTTTTTTCGTTTCCTATAGACTCAAAACTGCAATTGTCAATCGTATATTGTAATCGCAGAATAACCAGGTAGAATCGCAAAAAGCGTATCTAAATTGCACCGCTCTATAAGTCTATTTTATGGCTCCAGGAAGCACTATCATCGCGGCGAAAAAACTCACCTGACCTACCCCAGTTAACCTCGTAACGCTTCCGGGTATGGTTAACAGTTTTAGCTGCTTCCTGAAGTGCTTGATAATATGCTGTACTTTGCTGCTGTAATGCTTGAAGAAAACCTGGTTTCAATAAACAATAGTGTCATATAGTACGATCCTTTTTGACAAACAAAATTCATTTGAAGGGATTACTTAAGCCCCGTACTATTCTAAACCCATATAATCGAACTCATTTAGAAGATGTTAGGTGCTTAGTGAACGTTTGCTGATCATTATAGTCTAGTTTGAGGCACCCAGTTTTCAACTTTCAACAGTTTTCAACCACTATCAGAGTGTTTAATACAACCGGATTGCTTCCTTAGCTTCATAAAATGTACAATCTGGCCTCATCTCCCCAATCTGGACAGAAGACGGCGTGCAGCACAACTCAATCACCCTTTAAAGCCACGCAAGTCAATAATAGTAATTCGTACGGAATTTATCTATTTGCGTTTCTCTAAAGGGCGTAGATCGTCTGAAACAAACTTATTCAAATTGGCCAGATCAAACAGCTGTGCACAATTATATTTAGAGACCTAGAAAACAATTTTGTTTTTTTTTTTGCTTTTTGTTTTGATGCAATTTTCATATTGACACATATCTATTGGCACGAAGATCGTTTCTTAATCTCGTAATGGTACTCTTGACAACTTGGCATAGTTGCTTAGAGATTTACACATTCAACAAGGATCTGTTATGTCACTTAGAACTTCCTCTGTGTGTATTAAGTGTCAAGCCAAAATCTAAGCTATTGTCCATTTTCTACCAAATGTCTACTTCATGCAGAAAACCAATTAAATGGTTGCGCATTGCCTGAAGTATGCAACGAGATTTTTTGCACCAACTGCGACAAACCCTTGCGTAGAAGTTTTCTTTGCGACAGCTGCGAGATAAACTTTCACTATCCGTATACTAATCAGTCCAGATGAAAAGCGGAGCGTACATAAAAAGCGCAATTGTCAAATAAAACAATATGGGAACCACAAATATAGTAACGTTTTCAGATTAAGTCGGGGCACAATTTTGCCTGTAGTACGTTCAACGAGTAACCTTATCGCACGAGCAAAAATTGAATTGAGTAACGTAACGTAACGTGGCCTCATACTGTGCGACCCTAACCCGAGTATAGCGTAACATTCTCTATGAAGCTATTGAGTAGGAAAAATGTTTCATTAACAGCTAAAAATCAAAAAACGAGTACACAATTAATACAGGCGTCTAGCTAAGCATCAATCGATAAAAGAATCGGTTGCGAGCATCGTCCGTCTGCTCTTCGGCCCACTTGTATAGCTATTTTCAAGTAGAAAGAACTGCCATATTTATGGTACAGTTATTTTCAAATAGTTTTGTTCCTATTTAGTGAAGTAATCCATATAGAGGTCGTTCTTTTGGGGAAAATGTTATGTTCACCTGCCTGTAGCAGTTTCGTGGCCCGTTCACTATGTTCTCGTACTTGTACCCTTCGCTATTGCTCGGATCGGGCCTATTGCTCAGTAATGCTCTTGGCTGTTTTTTTTTAGATGTTTTTGCTTCGAACAGTAAGATTAGGTTTAACTGGACCCCGCAATGAATAGGTGAATACATTTCTTTCTTGGTTTTAAATGCATTCTTAGAATTTAATTCGTTGAAACAGTATCCTACAGAGTGACTCCATTTCAGCCCAATTAAGAGCATTGCCTGATTCATTACCGATGATACCTGCAGCCCACACAATACGGCCTCACCGCCACAACGGGGCAACGCTTTTTTTGAAAGAGTTCAGCTTCACAAGCACTCACTATCGAATATCTTTTGGTTACTTAAAACGGTGTTTCTTTAGCAGCCACTTCCTGGAAAAGAAATCCTGAAGCAGTTAATTGTACACTGTCCCGAGTTGACAAGAAAAATGATAGGGAAGAGCAGTGGTGATTTTTTTAGGCGTCATTTGAAAGCATTAGTTCGTGTTGACACATACGATCTAGGAACGAATGGACTATATACCACATTTAGACGCTCCCAAAGCGAAACTTATATAAACTATTGTTCAATAGTTTTATGGTATTAACATAAAGTGTGCGTTAACCTGATACTTCCTATCGTTCTCTACGTCTCTGTACAAGCGCAAAAGATCCGCCAGAGTAATAGTACAAATCAATCAGCGACTCGTTTCTATTCAATAACTATAGCTGTTTTAGAGTCATACAAATGGAAGTGACACGCTCAGAGCCGATGTAAGTTATAGTTCGGGCGAACATTAATGGTCCTCGTCCCTTTGCAGTTACCTCGTTTAGTGTAGCCCGTTGGCCAACAGTTATTTTACTTTGTCACAGACATTTCATCAATCTGGTTTTCAGCATGGACATCTACATGCGTTGTATCCGAGTCAATATTAACGATACGTAATTCCATTACAGGTCTACACCGTCACATTTATTCGGTTGCGGTCTTCCTAAGCTAAGTTCCAGTTCCTCTGAGACTATTGTATATTTAGCACAACAATTCTACTTAGCTCATCTAGCGAATCTATTACTTTGTGGCAGTGACCCATCTTGGTGCAGTTATCCTGTTCTCTTGTCCCTGTAATTTGTCACAGCAGACCGAATCTATGAGTGTGGTAGTTATCCTGCCGCATTAATCGCATTGTCCTGTTCCACTAATCCTATCTTTTCGTCTGACCCATTTATTCCATCCTGTCGTTGCAATTGGCCCGTCACCACTAAACAGGTAGCCTGAGAGAACTGATAATAAACTGTAGTTTCGAAAGAATAGTCAACCAAAACTTAAAGCCAACGACGCAAAATACACGACAATAAAGTCTTATCGATGCAGAAAAAAATCATAGGACAGCCCTACGCAAACGGGCAAACCAATATGTACATACTTAAATGATGCTCACAGATTTGTATAATAAAATGACATGAACAGATGTCCACTATTAAGAAATATCTAAACCATCAAAGCAAAGAAACGAAAGCAATAAATTGCCGGATAAAAACCTTTGGTGTTTTTATTTTCGGCAGAGTTATTCCGAATGTTGTCTACTATTTTGCTTTTAGACTCGTTGAATGATTCCGAAAATCCTAGTATTTATGTTGTATCCTTTGTCGTGCTTCTACCTTTATTTACCGCAACTTAAACTGTGCAAGTGCGAACGTTAAGCCTCGCGTCTACTTAGCCATCGTATTACAGCAGGGGGAAATCTACGCGTTGAATCGGGAGCAGCTGCATTAGTTTTTCTGCTACTCAGCATTATACCCATGCAGACCCAAAGTGACCAAGTAACGAACAAATATCATATAAAGTTTAATCCTCTTTTGAAGGAGAAATAAATCTCTTTTTGCTAGGGGTGAATGACTGACGAATTAGTTTTTTCAGCTGACTATAACTTGTCATAATAGATTTGCTAGCTATTTGCTTAGGGGCATGCATTGCGCGATGACGTTGCCCAGTTCAGAGAGGCCCAATGTTTGGTGTTAATTTCGATCGAACTGAGGCAAGCAAACAGTGACCGCAGCAACAGCGCCACCTATTTCTTATTGCCCAGTGTTTTCTCCAAACAGAACAACGCACATTTTAATGAACCGCAATGGACTATAACAGCTATCGTCTACGACGACGCCCACAGGTCTCCTACGCTAACGCTTCATACGTCTCTATTTATTCAGCTAACCTCTGAAAACATTTGTCCTCCTGTCTGCTGGTTTCTTTCGTTTGCAACGTTTTAACAAACGACGATGGCGACAAGTCGACAAAACGGGACGATAGATAAAACTGTATA